TTTGGACAGTCGGTTGGTAGGAGAATGGGATGTGCGTGTCTGCGATCAAAATAGGCCAAGCATTCATCTCCCCATCAAATAACACGGACCGCCGTTGTAGATATCTTAATAATGCATTGTCACCAAAATGCCTAACTCGACAAGAAAGTGATTATTTAATATCGTTTTAATAGTCAACCACTCCTATCCTGGTAACATACGCGTGCTCGCAAGCATGCATATGCTTTGTTTTTTGTTTTTTTTTGTTTTGTTTTGTTTTTGCGTCTATGTGCGCGCGATTACTGGTATATAGGAACACATCTACACAGACGTGTGATTTTTAAAGAACACATGTGCAAGTTAAACACACTAGACAACATTTATGTACTCGCACACCTACCTGCATCTGATTATTTACATAAGTACTTGTTTGTACTGCCTCTTTTTGTGTGCGTGTGTGTGCGCGTGTGTGCACGCCCGTACATATATATTTATGTTTGTATCACGAGATTGTGTTTAATGATGAATCTATGCACAATATATATAAACAATACATTGCTAAAAACAGTGATCATATATATTTATGCAAACATACCCACACACATCACGACAAATATACGAAAAATTACGTTTCAAAACGGAATCTTATAGTTACAGTAGAATTCAACGAAAGCAAGGGGTCTTTCTCGTAACAGATTAATAATAATTAATTTAAAAAAAAAAACATTTATATACACACAAAATTTTAACATAATCCAGTTACTTACGTGATCATCAAAGAAGCAGGATTCGCGTATGTAAATGCTTAGAACTTTTATATATATATATATATATATATATATATTTTTCAATTTTTTTTATTTTTTTCCTTTTTTTGTAACTTTTTCTTCTTATAAAATGTCTTTGTTCGTGGTCACATTTGCAGTCGACAATAATAATAATAATAATAATAAAAAAAGAATGGTAGAAATTATATTTGCGGGGTGTCTACACCATAACGTGCGAGTGTGTGTGTGTATGCATGTATACATAGAGATAGATCTATATATATCGATCTATGCATATGTATATATATACATATATATACATAAATGTGAAATATTTTAGGGAGTTTGCTTCAATCGAAATGTTTTGCAGCTCCCAATTTCGGGTGGCAATTTGTCCCCTCATTCGAAGTGGTGAAGCTCCATATAGGCAATGAAGGGCCGATAGGTAGATGAGCAGGGTACCACAATGTACACATACTCAGACGGGCACAACCAGCGAAACAACAACACTTGGAGTGACGGCGGCCACTTGACGCTTTTAACTAGGAACCCGGACCGTAATTCTGCTGCATATTTCGCAACGCTCGACGCTGACTGGTTGCAAGGTGCTCACGACAATCGACGAATCAAATCTATGGATGCCCATAAGGACTATACAGCTGTATTTACACTTGCCACTATTTCATTCATTCCCTCCCCAAAACTTTTTTTTTATCACTATTACCTATTTATTCTGTTTAAGTCTATATATTTCCACTCTGCTCTTATTCCATACTTGTTGAAGAATTCTATTCGCATACGTTGGTTGAGATAGTATTTTATTTCATTTTCCGTGATTTGATGTCTTTTTATGATTGGCATTCTGAAGACCGAACAGCGTCGATGTTTTTAGGCCTTTTGACTCTTTTTTTATATTAGTCTCTTTAAATAAAATGTTTTTTCTTCTTTTCTTTTTATTGTTTTTAACAGCCTGATTAATTTTAACGAAGTTTCTTGACTTTTCTCTTCTTTTTATTGTCTCCTTATCTTACGTCTTTACATTTTCTCACTAGACGTAACTAAATCAACATACATATACACACACACATAAGTACACACACAGACACACATACATACATATATGTGTGTGCACACAACACACTTACAAACACACAAACACATATATGTTCATTCATTTTGCACAATTTTATACAACTGATGTTTGCTACAGTAATGAGCTAGATCCGCACGAGGTATACTACATTTGTGATAACTTTCACAAACACACATATGTGTAGATAGATAGATAGATAGATAGATAGATAGATAGATAGATAGATAGATAGATAGATATGGACATACTAAGATAGATAGATATGGACAGACTAAGATAGATAGATAGATAGATAGATAGATAGATAGATAGATAGATAGATAGATAGATAGATAGATAGATATGGACATATTAAGATAGATAGATAGATAGATAGATAGATAGATAGAGAGATAGATAGATAGATATGGACATAATACGATAGATGGATAGATAGTTAGACAGACTAAGCAATTGAGTATTTTTGTATTCCGATTATATTTCATTCCCACAAACGTTGTGTTTAGTGGGTACATGTGTTTGGGTAACTATCCATATTTTATTAAACAACGAAATTAATTTCTACCGGCCTAGAGATAGAAGGTCTTCATAAAGATAATATAACTTTCTTCATTAAGTCTTTCGATCTTTAAATCGAGAGGCATTAGTCTCATTGTTTAAATAAAACGAGGGCGTCTACTCAAATATGTACAGCTACTAAATATATATTTTATAGTGATGATATATATATATATATATATATATATATATATATATATATATATATATATATATATATATATATATGAAAACTAAAATTCTGAAAACCTAACGATATTATTAATAAAGTTTTAGAAAAACTTGTTGCAACATAAAGTCCTTGATAAAGAAGGAAAATTTTCGGCTAAGATAAATTTGCCTTTTGTCTTTATATATATATATATATATATATATATATATATATATATATATATATATATATATATATATATATATTTACAAATTCATGAATTATTCACAAAAAAAATACAAAGGTTAATGATTTAATTGGCGAGAAATCCATCGTCGCAAACAATTCAATTAATATACAAAAACCCCAATTTGTAAATTGATTGCACCTTTTATTATAAATATATATATATATATATATATATATATATATATATATATATATGTGTGTGTGTGTGTGTGTGTGTGTGTTTGTGTATGTGCATATATACAAACATATATATATATATATATATGTATGCACAAATATATTTGTGTCTTATAAATATATATATATATATATATATATATATAAAACTTATATTATTATTATTATAGTAGTAGTAGTAGTAGTAGTATGTTCTGTAGTATACATTGAGCCCTCCTGGATTTATATCCTCCTTGAATTATCCTCCCAGTCACAAGCTGGTAATACAATTAAAAATACATGAATAGTACTTGTGCAGGCAGATAATCATCAGGCATATATATATATATATATATATATATATATATATATATATATATATATATATATATATATATATATATATATATATATATATATATCATATACATATATATATATATATATATATATATATATATATATATATATATATATATTTTGTCGCTTGTATATTTTCCACAAGTGTCAATGATGGCCTGTCTATGTTCCGGTTTATCATGACATGAAAAATAATTCATATATATATATATATATATATATATATATATATATATATATATATATATATATATATATATATATATATATATATATATATATATATATATACAAACAAATGTACGGTTGTTGCACTTCCCATATGGTGACCCAGTGTTCAGTAACAGTTTCGATTCCACGGCATCATTATCATTAACTCAAGTCACCCCAGCAGTACCACACGATATCGCCACGTTTCTCCGTCGCATTGTGGAAGTACCAGAGGCAAGCAGATGAACCAATATTAAAGTCTATTTGATATCAACCGGTGATCAGTGAAAATATGTTAAGTCTGAAATGTAAATGACACTTCCGTCTCTGACAAAAACAGGAAAAGCATTAGTCGTAAAGACAATCGTTCTAACTCATTCCACGACATAATGAAGAAAATGAAAACGAACCATTCGCACTTAAGTATGCAACTCATAAAACCAGTCAAATAGGGAAATAGAATCGAAGGAAAGTATTATACAATTAACGAAGAATAAAAGCGAAGAATGAACGAGAAAACGTTAGGACGACTGGACTCGGTTTCCCTTGTCTCTTTACTAAATAGTTAAAAAGGGAGATGAATGAAGTTTAAATACATAGGAAGTGTTTTGACAGAGAACGATAAGTGCGACACCGAGATCTGTAGACGCATTGGGATGGCCAAGGGCGCATTCCAAAAGCCGGGCAGACAGGAGAATTTCTTTGGTAACAAAACAAAGAGTACTGAGCTTATTACGGGATGTCTGTCTTCCTTTACGGCAGCGAATGTTGGACGGTCTCTTCAAAGATGAAGAAGAGACTCGTGGCGACGGAGATATGCTTCTACAGAAGGATGATGAGGATATCATGGGCCGAACGTGTGAGCAACGATGAGATATTGGAGAAGATGCACACAAACAAGGAGGAAGCTTATACTGAACATCAGGAAAAGGCAGCTGAAGTTTCTGGGACACGTAATGAGAAAAGAGGGCCTGGAGAATCTGATACTCACAGGTTGAAAAGAATGAAAGAGAGACAAGGAAAGAGAGACAAGGAAAAGCAACCCATGACATTCCTGGCGGGGTTAAGCAAGTGGATAACAGAACGTGGTCTGGGGGAGGTGGCAGAGGGAAGGAACTTGTTGAGAGTTGCAAAGGATAGAGGGGGGTGGAGAGCCATGACCGTCTGCGTCATGAAAAGACAGGACACATTGAAAGAAAGAAAACTTGTGTCTCGTGTTCAATCTCCGTCTGCTAAACTTTGTACATACACGCATAAACGCACATGAAGTAGAAAATATATATGTAGTTTAAAACATAGTTGAAATTTGATCTGAAAATATTCCCTGCACGATGCTTTTTCTGTCATTGAACAAAATCGTCTAGTACACAAGACACACAGGGAATCTCTTACAGCTGAATGTGAAAGAGAAATACTTGGCAAAAATTGTTTTTATCAAAAGAGCTATTGCGGGTAGCATAGAATGTTTCGGCAGCATTTTAAATATAATAGTTGGGATAGTAATTAGATACACTCAAAAATAATCCAAGTTTATGCACCAACTTGAAAAATTTCAAGGAAATTGCAATTTTTACGTTGATATCAGTAACGTTATACAATATGAAAATTGCGCCATTTTAATGGACGACTGCAATGCAAACATAGAGAGAAGAAATGAAAGGGAATCTGATAATAAAAGATACATTCGGAATAAGCAAGAGAAATAAGGTGGCTGAAATATTCGTTCAGTACTTAGAGTGATACGAATTAAGAATTAGGTGTACATTTTGCCAAAAGCGAAGAGACCGTAGATGGACTGGGAAAAATCCCAAACAGGAAACAAAAATAAAATTGATAAACAAATTTCATATCGGAAGTGATCATAAAATGGCAAATTACAGCGTTAAATTTGATTTTAAAATTGAAAGAAAAATAATTCTCAAGAAGAAAAACATATCTAAAACGATCAGAGACGACATTAGTGAATTTAACGTTGAACAAAACAGACTCCAGGCTTTGTGGAGGAAGAAAAACAAAAAACAAAAAATATAAATAGCAAGTTAGTAAGAATAATTAAGAAAGCTTCAGAAATAAGCGTGAAAAACGAACGGAAATGGCAATAAGAAAGAGAAACATTTCAAGTTAACAATAGAACTCATGAAAATAAGGAGCATTATGGCTTTTAATACAACAAGAAACGAAACTGAAAACGCAGAAATAAATTAATAATTATAAAATAAGTCAAAATGAAAAGAAAGATAAACTTGTAAACAGTAGAAGTTATTAAAAATGCTAAGAGTTTCAAATATACTCAGTTCGCAATGCGTTTAGATAAACAGCAAATACTTGAACTGAATGAGCGAAATGAAAAAATTCAGTATAAGGGGAAAATATTAAGAATAAATGAGAACTAAAACACAAGCCTGTATCCTTTGAAAAAAAAAATACCAAAACTCAGTTCGTCAGATACCAATTTTGGATCACTGGATTTATCTGGGAAACGGATCCACACAGATGTCACTTTTGTTGCAAAGGTTTCAGGGTATTACTAGTTATTTGACACTTGTAGGAGAATATATATGTACCTGTGCACCAATGGGACAATAACATTAGATGGTGACTATGTGGAAAATTAGTATCGTAAGGCTGATATTATATGCATGATATTTTATTTGTAGAGTAATAAGCACGTTGGATTATTATATGCTTGTACTGTAAAATTTTATTTTGTTTTAGCTGAAAATCCTTGGAAATTTTATTTCTACGATTATCGAATAACTTCTAGGCAATGTAAGATACATAAACAGGACTGCTCTCTCCCAACATTTCTAACAATTAAAAAATTATAGAAATACACAAATTATTACGTGAGATATTGTAGCAAAAGCTAAATCTTACCATGGAAAGGCGAGAGATGTAAATTATGCCTTGTTGAAAAATTAGTTATCTTAAAACACTTAAATAACCATGGCTTATGAAACAAGAAAAATGATTGATGGTTACATGCAGGCATAAAAATAAATATCTCTTGAGATACGTCAATCCAGATTAAATTTTATGTAAATTATGTCATTTCCCTTTTGGACTTTTTTAAAATTTTTAATATTTTTTGTTTATTGTATTATAAAGAAAAACTACAGTAATCTCCATTTATGCTTAATAAAAAGATAATATTCACACCTTTAAATATTTTTTTAAAGTATAAAACTATAATCCCCATATGATATATGGACTGCGCCAACGCTGCGCTAATCAGATATTTTTACTAACATTTAAATTACATAACGGTCAGTCTATACTCAACACATGAACATTGTGTTGTGGATGAAACTCCTAGTCGTGTTGCCGGTGAGGGATAACATATATATATATATATATATATATATATATATATATATATATATATATATATATATATGTGTGTGTGTGTGTGTGTGTGTGTGAAAATATATAGAAAATAGGAAGGAACTGGTTAGGTAAATAATCCAAAGTCCCTTAGTATTTTAGTTATTTTTAAAAAATAGTGCTCGATACAAAAGTAAAGCATAAATATAATTATTTATTTAAAAATATGCCCGATGTCCTTAATATCACCGCGAAATTGATATTAAGGACATCGGGCTCTATAGAGATGACGGGCTCATGGTGGTGAGGAGTTCTACTAGTTTTAAGATTGAAAAAATCAGAAAAATTATATTTAGTGAATTTAAGAAACTAAACTTAAAAGATAACTGTCTCTTCTAATTTGAAAAGGGTTAACTTCCTCGACGTAACTCTAGACTTACCAGGCAACACATACCAACCTTATAGAAAACCAAATGCTAACCCTTTATACATACAATTCGAAGTCAAACCATCCTCCATCAATAATTAAACATATACCCTCATCAATAGAAAATAGAATTAGCATTAACTCCGCAAACAAGGAAATATTCCAACAACACAATGGCTTCTATAACACTGCCCTAAAAAATAGTGGTTATAAAAATGCTAACATTAACTATAGAGAAAATTACACTGGCCATAGAAACAAAAAACAGGAAAAAGAAATATCATTTGGTACACCCCTCCGTTCAACCAAAGGGTTAGTATTAAACTAGGACAGAAATTCTTAGCTCTAATTGATAAACACTTCCCCACCAATAGTAAGCTTAGTAATATATTCAATAAGAACACCCTAAAATTGAGTTATCTGCTCTGATAATCTTGAACGTATAATAAAAAAACACAATAATAAGATCTTGAACAAACCCCCATGCCAAAACAGTATTAATAAAAAAATCTGCACTTAAACCAGACGATAAAAGGGAAAATTATGTAACTGTAGAAACCTAGAAGACTGCCCATTAGAAAATAAATGTTGTATTAATTTGTGGTATACCAATGTACTATTTCATCCACAGAGAGCCCTAGTACTAATATGATATACATTGGGTCCACGAAGAATAATTTTAAAGATAGATGGAGGCATAAGTGCTCCTTTAATAATATAAACAAAAGAAATCAGACTTCACTATCAAAATATTTTTGGCACCTGAAGGAAACAAATAGGACACCAAAAGTTAAATGGAAAATCATTGATAAGGCTAGAACATGTAAAGCTTGGGATGACCCATGCCCTTTGTGCCACCATGAAAAATTACACATTATTAAACTTCTAAATAATAATAATCTATTAAATAATAGACACGAGTTAACGGTTTTTGTAGGCATCATCAGATTTTTTGGTTTGAATTATTAGATAAAAAAAAAAAAAAAAAATTTATAATAACTTGTTTAACAAATAGCCCAATCATCAGATTCATAGTAGGAATAATTAACTACAAACATGCATACAACATAACACCCTTCATAATCCATAGCCCAAATAAGTAGTTTAAATACCTTACACAATAGATAACCCTTTATGAAGTCGTCAAAAAACAAACGTTACGAAAGTTTTTCTTTTTTTTTATATGCACAATTCCCTTTCATAATAAAATAAAATAAAATAAATAAATAAATCTCCATAGACAAGCAAACTAGACGAAGGTTAATACATCTTCCGTTTCATTTTAGACACCCCCACCTTTCCCCGACTTGACATCTTGAAAGTATCTCTATACCGCTACTTATTATTAACACCCTACACTCGCCTACCCAATTTAAACAATTCGCCCTTGCTGTTACCATGGAGATTTTGATTTCAATTTTTAAAACAAGTAAATTTCAGATATACGTTATTCCAACAAAAATTTCGCTTGAAGATGGAACGGAGCCCATTTAATTTAAACTCAATTTAATTTAAAGGATTATATTGAAGTTTTCGGCTCTTGTTTTGAAACATGAGACCTCTTATGTAGCGATTTGGAATCATATTTTTAAATAAATAATTAATATATATATATATATATATATATATATATATATATATATATATATATATATATATATAACACAGTGAGTAATAGTGGTAATAAAACATATATAACAACAGAGCTAAAATTTATATTAATAGTAAATATACATTTTTTCCTTCACCATCTGGTACAATTGCAATCCACACCTGAAGACTACCACATACAAGAAACTCAAACGAAATATATATATGTGTGTGTGCGCGCGCGCGCGTCTGTGTATGCGTGTGTGTGTGTGTGTGTGTTATGGTAAATTACTGACGCACGTATGGACTATTCCACCTATAAATAGGAGCAGGTACTGCCTTTTGGAGATGGAAGTTTCCAGCAATCAGCTCGGACAGTCGTAGAGAACATTCTTGCTGTAACACTCTCGTTTGTATATGTTTGCATAACTGTTTCTGCTAATATAATTTCTAAATCATTTCCTCTATTGTGCCTTTACTTCTGGCTCTAACAAGGCCACAATATATATATATATATATATATATATATATACACACACACAGAGGGAGATTGTAAGACAGAGACAATGAGAGAGTGAGAGAGAGGGATAGAGGGACAGACAGATGCGATTTGTTTGATCAACGTTTAATACCAAGAGAAGGAATGTTTAAAATTATGCCAATGTTTCATTCACTGTAATGGACGCATATCCACGCCAAATTCTGGCAGCTGTTGCATAAAAGTGAAATATTGAGGTCGGTTATGTTCGGAAACCTTCGGAAGCCAATCAATGTAGACAAGATGTTCGTCTTTTCGTCGTTTTGTCCACTGAACTGAACAGTCTTCTATTATTTCTGCATCTAACAGACATAGGGTTTCTTACGCTTTTGGAAAAAAGCTAAAGATTAATTAAAGAAATTTTCAACTTTTCTTCTAAAATTTGTTTGAAGAAGTTTCGGTTCTTGGTTAAAAGATGTTGGATTGAAAATCAGCAAAAGTATAATTGACACTAAGTCGGAATTAATGCAATTATTACTGATTGGAAGTGACTATTACATTTACGAAGCTTATTCAATTATTATTCACACGTACGCACACACACACAGCTATATATACAGACATATGTATATATATATAAAATACCCGCACATATATC